CGCTTCTTCTGGAGGTTGCGCGCCGATTTGCGCTCGTCGCTTGTCACGATGGCGCGGCGCAGGCTGCCGGACGCGCTCAAGGAGGGGCGAGCCGAGGTGCTGTCGCACGACCAGGAGAAGCTGCTGCGCCGCGAGGAGGCGGTGCAGCGGCAGCTCAACGCCGCGGTCGAGAGGTACGCCGCCGCGCTCGAGCTCTTCGACCAGTGGCGCGCGCAGGGCGTGAAGACCGCCGCCGAGCTCGAGCGGGCGCTGGGCGGCAAGTCCGAGCCCGAGCAGCTGGCGGAGCTGCGCCGCCAGATCGAGATGCGGACAGTCGGCTGTGGCTGGACGCACTTCGAGACCAAGTGGGGCTTCTTCTCCGACGAGCGCTCGCACAAGATCGAGGACCTCAAGCGCATGCTGCTCGACGACATCTTGCCCTACGAGTTCCAGCTGCGGCGGCTCAAGAAGCTCCCGACCGAGGCGCGCCGCCCGCGCTCCGCTCTGAGATGAGCGCTTCCCCGTCTCACTCGACGTGTCGCTCCCCATAGGCGGCGCCTCCTCAGCTGCGGGTCCGCTCGATCAAGACCCTGGGCACCGCCGACGCGGACGTGCTGCGCCTGGAGCAGCAGAGCATCTTCAACGTCTCGAACCTCCTCCCGAAGGCGAAGGCCGCGCGGGAGCGGCGCGAGGCGGCGGGCATCTCGGACAGCGTCGAGGTGCGGCAGGACCGCGAAGCCCCCCCCTTCGACACGCGACTCGTGGGCAAGTGGCTCGAGGTGTGCTGGCCATACAAGGAGGAAGGTAGGACGGTCAAGATCTGGGCCGCCGGCAGGGTGAAGCGCGTCGCGGACGGCCTCACCGACAAGAGGAGCCCGCGCGCACGCAAGATCCTCCCGGCCGGCATGCTGCTCTGGGCTTGGGACGCCGACCCCGAGTACGACGAGCCGGCGGGGGAGAGATGGATCGCCTTTCTTCCCGAGAAGTGGAACAGGCCCGTCTCATATGGGTGGCGGCTCGATCCCCGCGAGCTGGGCGCCACCGGCCCGCCCCGCACGCCGCTCATTGAAGAGGAGGAGGAGGAGGAGGCGCCGCGCGCGCGCCGGTGACCGAAATTTGTCTGTCTTGAGACGGGTGTGGGCCCTCGTGTGGTCGGTCCCTGGATGTAAGGGGCATAGCTATAGACTCCCCATAGTGTCCACAGTCAGTGCTGAGCTTGCCGGGCTTGTAGTGCGACTTTCAAAATTTACCATTTCCCCCACTAGACACACGTTTTTCAAACCTTTCGTTTCACGAGACACACGATTTGGCGTTGGCCGCGCGGAATAACGCGCGTGGCGTACAAAAGCATTCAAAACATTAAAACGAACCGACCACGGGGACGAGCGCTCGTCGAACGGGGGCTGGGGCCCAGCAGCACACTTCAAGACACCGCCCTTGGCACAGACGCGCGCATAGAGAAAAGAGCCATGTGCACCCCCCAGCCCGCGCCGCGGACGCCGCGCGTGCGTGGCGGTGGCGTGATGACCGAGGCCGCCGCCCCGCCGTTCAGCCAGCCCCGCCCCTGCCCGCCGAGCGCTCTCAGTGGCGGGCCTAGCTGGCGTGGCCGACGGCAATCTTCTCGAGCGGCTTGAAGACATACGGC